TGCGGGGATAAAGTTGAGTACGGAGAGGATCAGGAAGCGCTCTTGCGAAGTTGTTGAGTATTTGGGTAGGAGTTAATCCATGTTCTGCGCGTTGTAAGAGTTCGTCCATTGTTGCTTTCAGTGCAGACGCACTCTTCCATTTTCGATCTGCGATATTTAGAATTAACATTTCAGTTCTGCGAGCTAGATTTTTATCTTCAAACCGCTCTCTGACAGCTTTAAAGAAATCTTCAATTCTAGTTTGTTGGGAATATGCAATCATAGCATCGCAGTTAGCTTATTTTTGCAACGAGATGGCGAAGTTCATCGCATCGCCGGCCATACACCAAGTGTCCTTCAGAACTCTATCCCAATAACGTATGCGCTGACCGTATACATAGGATTCCACGACCGCCATCCAATGAAGAACACTCTCCTCCCTTTGTCCAGTGTAGGTCCACGACACTTTAACTTTTATTATCCTGACATCAGTATTACGGCTGGAGTGAAGGTTTGTGTGATATGGTTATCTAACTTTTGAATGTAAGACTGAATGTGCAGATCCACGTCTTTGGCGGACTTTTCCAGAAAGGTATTCCAGACCCCTTCAAATTCGTATTGGTGGCTTTCAACTTTCTGCAGGGTCCGGTTCATTGCGGCTACCTCTTGCTTGGCATGAAGAACCGTTTCAGTCAAGAGAGCAAGTTTTTCTTCGGTTGCCGCCTGCTTGTCTTTCTGTGCTTGCAGTTTGCTTTGCAGCCTTACCCCCTCTGCGTGCAATCTCTTCCTTTCGTCAAGTTCTTGTCGCTTTGCTGCTAACATTTTACTGTGCAGCTCCACGCGTTTTTCTTCAAGCATGAGGTCTCTTTCCTTCTGGTCTGTAATAGTTGCTAGTCTTGCAACAAATATGTCCCTCTCTTCTTCTCTTTCTTCGAGTCTGTCACTGGTGTAAGCATACTGGTCGTACCAGTCCAGCGGTTTAACAAGCAATTCCCCTGCTTGACTATTCTCTGCCTTCTCTGTCCGCCGTGTGATAGGTCTTTCTCCCCCTTCCTCAGACTCTTCTTCTTCTATAGTCTGTAATTCTTCCTTCAATTCTTTCTCTAACTTTTCTTTTATCTCCTTCTTCATTCTTTCTTCTATTGTTTTACGAGATGAACCTGGTTATGGTAAATCGAAGCATCTTTCGGAATTGCTCAACCCCCCAGACAATAGATAGCGCGCGATTGTACGCTGAGGTGCCTCTTACCGGGTGGTGGATATGCTCACCTAGGTTTGAATTGAAAGAGGCAGATTACCCAATTAATTGGGGACCGGAGGCGAAACGACATCTCGTTACAACATAGCCTTTAGGTAATACATGTGAAGTCCACCAATAAAGGTGGATCGCAGAGGATCCGTAGTACCCGCAATGTAATTTAATTCCATTTGCATCTTCTTCTTTATTTCTTCCTCTTTCTGTTTTTTCCTTTCTTCTCTTTCTTTGTTCTTTTCTGCCTGACGGCGATCCACTTCAGCCTGCTCTGCAAGTGTAAGCCCTGGCTTTATGCCTCCTGATCTCATCATCATACGGGAGGTGCACACCCTCTCGAAGCCCAAGGGAAAAAGGACTCTGAACAAAGGACCCATCAGAACAGAAAGGGCAAGCAAGCCCTGCATCGGGAAGTCGTCCACCATGGTGGCACTTAGCACAGG